TATCGGTGAGAGACGGGCACTGACTGACTGACTGGTTCTGGTGGCCCATGGGTTCGTTTTTGGTGCACCTGACCCTGCGGGTTGAGGAGTCCTGATAGAGAGAGAGAGAGAGAGAGAGAGAGATTAAAAGAATTGGAAATCTGCAATAAGGTGAGGTTCCAAAATGAAGGAGGTTTATTACAAGTACTGAATGTACACTAGTATATTTATATACTGTATCACAATACAGTTGATCCTCTCTAAGTCAAGTTTCAATAAGAGACCAGCAAAAAAAAAAAATTCTGCTTACAAAGGTTTAGAATTAGAGAAACAAAGCATTTTTGCTTTGGGAAGCATAGAATAACTGCAGATAATTGTAAATGGTGATACTGTATTCTGGGCATAAAATTGCTCTTTGAATGAGTTGACAGGATACTGAATTTGAAGGCAGGGGTTCATTTGCCCAATTTTAGTCTTTCACTTTGTTTTTCAAAACACATCTAGTTAATTTTTCATTGCTTTTCTCTTTCCTGCTGCAAGTAAATACAGGTGGTACCTCACAATTTTACGCTAATTTGTTGCCAAACTATGGTCAAATTGCAAATTGGTCAAATTGCAAGACACCAAAAATATAAGTAAAAAATGGAAAAAATTGCCAAAGCAGGTAAAATTGCAGTGCAAGTGTCAAATTGCAAGTCAACCTCCCTGCAAATTTGAACACGGAATTACAGGATTGTGGAATTGCAGGAGGTCAACGTGTAAGGTACCACCTGTAATAGCCAAAAGGCCCCAGAAAATGTAACTTACATAGGTTTGAGAGAAATAGCCTTCAAGTTAAAGAGGTTTTTTGTACATTATTTCTAAGGGAAATCAGAGAAGACTTGAAAAAAATCTGGAGCGGTATTTGATTTAGGAAGGTTTAAATTATCAAGGTTCAACGGTGTATTACACTTATACTACATATTGCAAGTAAACTTCATTTTGCATCAATCTTGCAATATCAAGTGTACAAAATAAATTTGAAATACCGTAAGTTCATTCTGTAAAATAAACGTACGTCTTTGTATGGGAATCACGATTTTCCTAAATGTCTTCGTGAAATACAGGACATACACGTTCTAGTCCTTTTTTGGTTTCTATGCAGCCTTTTTTTGGGGGGGGGGGGGGGCATTTTTTTCTATTTTCGGAANNNNTGTTGTTGGGTGGGGGGGGGGGTCATTTATTCCTATTTTCGGAACAAGTCTTGATCGCACAGAAAAATCCAACGATCTGAAATTTGGACTTCAGCTGTATTTCCGTGTTCTGATTCTCCATTACCGTCATTTGGAATTCAATGCCACAAAACAAAAACATCATCCATAAAATGATCAGCTCAAGGGGCAGTTCACAAATACAATAACTAATTTTGGAAGTACAGTACAGTACTGTCCTGTACATAAATATAGAAGAGTAGTTTATATGGGAGATGTCAGGGAAGTCTCCGAAGATTTTCGCTGGCACCAGCAATCGCGGTGTTGAAAAGCGAAAATCTCGCCATGATATTTTGCCTTCATCGCAGGAAGCACGCAAATATTGCATAAATTAGCATTTCTACGAAGTTTTCCTCGCGCCACAAAACACCGGGATTGAAGGCGCCTATAGAACAAGAAAAAGGATGATCCCATGAGGGCATGAAACCTGTTTCCCTTATCACTCATGGTCGTAGAATTAAGCTTAAACCATCGTTCAAGATATTTCCTACAGGAAATACCGTAATCTCCACGCAGCCCTTTAAAAAAATACAGGAAAAGTTGAAAAGAGAAGAGGATTCGAAACGACCTTGTTGGGTCGATGGCAAGAAAAAGGGTTTCCTGGCTGAAAATTACAGCTCTGAAAGAAAAACAGGACGATTCTTCGCCCAGCACTGATCCTTTTGAAACATTGAAAAAATCGGCGACCAATTTTTCTCATTAAAATTCCGATATACTGCAATTGCATTTTTTCGCAGAGGAATCGACTTGAACTTTTCTTAGATGGCTGCGTTTGTTCAAAAATCAATCAAACTTTCGCTTCGTCAACAACAGCATTTTCAGATCCTTTATTCAAAAAATTTGCTGACACTCGAAGAATAGTTGTATTTCAGATCGCAGAAAATGGAAAATTACGAATGAATCAAATAGCAGTTTCTCGACCAAAGTCGGAGTGATTTCGACTAAAAATTGACTCGCATTAAATATATATTCTCGTTTCGTTTTCCAACGACACGAAAATTGAGCTTGATACGAAGCCGAAATAAAAATTCCGTGAATATTCTTCAGAGAGAAAATTCACGGATAACTGATGCAAAACAATTAATTTGTGGGAGTCCAACGGTTGATAAATTCGAGTGAATCTCCGTAGAAAATTTTGTGATACAAGATTTTATCTCAATCTTGCTGTATCTTGTGAAGGCTGTCTTTTTTCATTAATATCTAAACATTTGAATGGAACAACAAGATCAAAACAATGCTCATGCAGCAAGCCATTTTCAATTTTTAAAAAACTCGTATTTCATTGAAAAATTATTCCACTTTTTGCAAGCTTGCAGTTACTTTCGGAAAAATTTCTTCCAGAGTTTTAAAAATTGTGTTATTTAAAAATCGGAAAAATATTAAATACTGCGTAAATTTATCGTTTTTGAGAGTAGATTGGCGAGAAATCGTCTCAGGGGCGAATTTGTTAATACTGTATCTTGCATATTTCGCTTCGTAAAATAACTCCCAATTTCGTCTAGTCTGAAAGAAAAATTCAAGGGGGCAAACATTTTCTCCATCATTGGTCTGGTATCGCCGTGAGTATGTCATGAAGCAGACACAGTTTTTTATTTGTTTGACAGTAATAGCAATATGAACCTCAGGGGGGGGGGGGGGTTGGCAGTGCTCCAGGTGATGAACTTGTTGCATGATAAGCCCGTGTTCCGCAACGAGGCCCTGGCGAATATAGTCTGGTCAGGCTCATCAGAAAACGAAGAGGCTTTCTATATATGTTGGGCTTGTCACGATATCCGTAAATTTTTTGTCTTTTTTTTATGTTCCGTTTTTGCTTAGTTTCGTTTTTAGTTTTTAGTCATTTCCCGGTTGGGAAGCAATTCATCATCATACTTCTCCTGATGAGTTTCTGCTTCCTCTCGGAGCTCTGATGGGTACAGGAAAATTTTCCCCAACATTCTGCGTAGAAGGAATTTTAATCTGTACAGAAATTATTTTGACGTAGTGTCCTCCTTTATGCGACAGAATCTGCAGAGTTCAAATTTTAAAAATTAATCGTTGCTCCGGATGCAGAGAAAACCCGCGACTTAGACAAAGCAACCGTTTCCTATTGTTTGGCATGAAATTCCCGACGAGACGACACTGTTTTTGGTGAAATGATTCTGTTTCTCTAATTATTTATAGATCTGAATTTTCAAAGAAGGTGCCAAAGTAACTTCAGGTCAATCACCTCAGATCGTTCATTTTAAATGTTGAAAGTTTCGTTCTGAACGCAGAGAAACCCCGAACGATGAGAACTTTTGGATTAACTAGGACTTTTTTAAAGGAGTCGTGTTTGTCATGGAGATACATTTTGAAACCGAAAATTCGTCCTAGTCGATTTCTGGCCAATTAAACTCCAAAGAAAGACATATTTTGATTATATTTCAACATTTTCCGACTCCAGGTTTCTGCGATTTTTGATAGGGAAGATTCTTCGAACTTTCAAAGAAAAGATCCGTGAAAAATTGCATAGAAAATGACTAAAATACAACTGGTATACTAGTTCAGCTATCGACATCATCTACTTAATGGTACTGTAGAATGAATCATCAATTTTAAATTTTTTTATGGTCTTACTTTGTATTTTACTAATTGTCTCTGTCTGGTTTGCACTGAAGTACGAGTCCTCAACTGGAATTGATGAAAGATCTTAGGGAACGCATTGATGCAATGTTTTTGAAAATTTATTTAAATGCTGGACTGCATTTGTTAAATAGAGGTTCAATAGATTTAAAAGTGGGCTACCATATTCTTATCATATTCTACCGCGGTGTGTGGTTTATCCTGGATATCCAGTGACTGCGCTGAAGAGAAAACAGGCACAATGCGAAAGTGTGTATATAGACAGTAGTGAAAATGCGGAAGAAAAAACAAATATTGTGCCAGTATATTTCAATCTAAGCTCGGGTCACGCCAGAGAGCCATCTGTTGTTGAAGTCTGCCTGCTGGGACGAGATTGACGACGACGGAAGTCATCGGACCAGCGGCAGATAGGGAGGAGAACCCATCATTCTGCCGTGATCACTTTATTGTCTGACCGCACACGATGTGTCGATTTGTCCTCGCCGGGCGATGCTTGGTCGGTAAGATAGCAGCATTGTTTTGACGCGTGACCACTCGTTTCTTACTCCCTTTCGGATGAAAAAAACTAAAAGAAAAATAAAACAGACATTTGAATCGACCCAACAATGTTCTTCTGACGAGCTAGGCAATTAATTTCGGCTCTTACGAATATTTGTTTGCTTTTTGACGAAAAGTATGTCTGATTTGAAACCAGAGCGGCTCACAGAGCTGCAGCTATCGTATTTGTGCCATGCGTCGATTTAAACAAAAAAAAACCATGATTTAAGTAATGCCAGCAGCAGTTTTTCATGTTCATGGCAAGCTTTTAACCCACCAAGTCGTTATGGTCAAGTTGTACATATCACCCACCCGTTTTCGCATGTAATATCTGAACGTGCTCCACCTCGCACGTGATTTTCAATTGCGTTTGAGTTCAAGTTGGTTTCCTTGAGTGATCGAATGGGGAAGTTTTATTCAGTGGAGATGTGCCCCTGTACCTGAGAAACGTACGAATGCGTGTTGAAGGTTTCATGGAAGTTAATGTCTTCCTGCTTAGCAAGAAGAGCAATTTTCCCGCGTTCAATTGCGTTCCAATTTCCTTTTTAGTTGTGGGGAACGTTTCGCGAAATTCGTTCGAATGATTTTCATATTCCCTCTGCTTGAGGATTCTGTAATTCCATGATGGTTTTTTCATTGGTGGGATTCGTTGCAGTAAAAGTGAGGGTTGTTGTGGTTTTAAAATTATGATCTATATAAACACGAATATATCCCTGCTGTCTTGAATGCATTGTCATCAGTTACTGCCTTCGGAAAACGTGATGGTGTAATAGAGCGCAAATTTTGAGCTTATGGCACCAGATATGTTTCAAGCATGACGACGACAACGGATTTCTGTGATGGACGTGGACGAGAAAATTGTGGTCAGCAAAGAGGGGAAACTGCTGATGCCGTCAGGTTCGGTGAAAGCCGAAAACTTGAAGCCGCCATTCGCGACCGCAGCGCAACCCCCGCTGACACCAGAAAATACTATACGGACGGTGGAATGGAACATGATGAACAAGCAGAAGTTTTACCCCCTGAGTATTTTGAGCAGCTTCACGATTCGATGCTTTCTGTATCCCTTCTCCGTTATCAAAACGAGAATACAGGTTCAGCGTGGCAATGAAAATTATTCGGTGAGTGAGCATAACCCTTTAAAATTTCTGTGACTGGTTGACGTCGCAATTTATTCTTGCTATAGGGTACGATAGATGCATTCAAGAAAATTCTGAAGTATGAAGGTGTTGGTGGATTGTACAAGGGATTCTGGATCAACACTTTTCAGATTGTTTCCAGTGTTTTCTACGTAACAACTTACGAAAATGTGCGTCACTTCATGTTAGCTCGAGATTTTACTGACAGCAGAGTCAGAGCTCTCGTTGCCGGCGGCTGTGCATCTGCCGTTGGGCAGACTTTTATAGTACCCTGTGACGTGGTTTCTCAACACTTGATGGTTTTGGGCCAATTGGAAAAACGCAAAGGCGGAACAGTCGTTGTGAATCCTTTGAATCTGGATTACAAGAAGTACAAGTCGAAATTCGACTTGACAGTTGCAATTGGGAAGAGAGTTTATGAAAGGGACGGGGTGCTTGGATTCTATCGGGGATATTGGGCTTCGTTGTGTACCTACGTACCGACCAGTGCAATGTGGTGGAGTTTCTATCAGTTGTATCAAGGTGAGCCATTTTAGTTGTTCCACGATTAATATGCTTCTAATTTCGTTTGACTTCATTGGAAAGATTGGCTTTTTCTCGTGATGCCCCCATCCGTTCCGACGCTTGCTATCCAAAGCATGGCAGCACCGCTGGGTGGATTAACTACAACCATAATCACGAATCCTCTCGATATTGTTAGAGCTCGGTTGCAGGTTTGTGAAATTTAGTTTTACATACGCGTATTTTTGTTCCACATTACTTTTGATTGAAAGGTTCAAAGGCTGAATTCTGTCAGCGGTGCGTTCGTCGCTCTGTGGCAAGAAGAGAAGTTGGGCATCTTCACGAAGGGTCTATCGGCGAGAGTGGCTCAATCGTGTGTGTTCAGTTTTGCAATCATTCTTGGCTATGAGTCCGTGAAACGTATGAGCGTTTTAGACGAGTATCGGGACCGTGTTCGACGATGACTTGAGTTTTTCTTACATAATTTCTTGCATTTTTTGGCCATACTTCTGAAATTTCCACTCATTTGTTCATCATCGTGAGTGGGGTTGGGGTATACTTTCATGTGCGTTGTTCTCCAGCTTCTGTATTTGGCATTCACCTTCTTAATTCTGGCAAATTCGATATCCGATGTTGCTATTATGCCTGGTTTGTCCAGTACGTCGAGTCAGCCGCGTTTCTTCTCTTTCTGTTTCCGGAAATGAATTGATTCGAGGATACATTTCAACGAGCCTTGTGGAATGTGTCGGTGTGTGCTTCAGGATGAAATACTTGAAGCTTTTGAATATTACTGTGGAGCGGGGGAATGGTTTTAGCCATTGAGTGCCAATTCGGAGCACGAATATTGAAGCCGCGTGGTCGTTAGACGGAAGGACCGTGGCTCTCCGGATTTTATTTTTGGTACTTGTTTAAGCCGCCAGTATATCTAGTCGAGCTGTGATGAGCGGTTGGGAAGATGTGCGTAGAATTATTTTTGAACCAATGACAGTCTTCCGAATAGGAAAAGAGATGTACGCAGGGGTAAAATGATGTGGCGATGGCCGCGTAATGGTTGATGAAATGTGCAATCCTGATTTTAGTTTTCTTCGGATGCTTTCGATGATTTTCAACATATTTCGTAGCGTCAAATGTCGTTCGTTACGGATAACAACACTGTGGCGCGATTTAAAAGAAATCCGTTTCCTGTGGAAGATGAATGGTACTAGCCGAACTATCGTTTTATTGGGGGTTGAAAACCGTTGCTGAGCGGCTGGAAAAAAATGATCAGTTTTTTTTTTTGCGTGTTCCCGGGAACTTCTTATTCACTTTTGTCCCATTCGTACGCCGTTTATTCTGAATTGATTCTCGTTGACCTTTTTCCGCGATGATTATGCGTAGGTACGCCGCATTTGAACAATGTTTTCTAGTGATCAAGAAGAGTGTATTAGGAACGGATCTCGGTGTGATCCCTGAGCTATTAGGTGTAATGAAGAGAACGAGAGCAAGTATGGAAAACGATGGAGTCAATAAAAATCTCTGGAATGTGGATTGCGAGGTGAGTCCGTTGTTGAAGATTGTAATGTGATCCGTAAAATTCCTGCGTGATGGCTCACTTCACATTTATTTCGGCTCTAGAAAAGGAGCTATTCTTCGTACGATGGATTTTTTTTCTGGTCCAAGGATCCCGACAGTCAGTTTCATGTTTAATGAATTTTTTCATGAAACCGTAAAATTTGGTCTCTTGAGTACATTGTTGTTGAGTGTGACGTGATTTGTGTGGATGTATTCGGATTGACCTAATCTGTCGTGAAAGCCGTACTTATATTTATTTTTCAGGGTAATAACACAGCGACTCATTTTACTGCGATAGCTGATTTGCTCAAGAGTGGATTGATGAGTGATTTGACGCTGCAAG